ACCGGGAATGTCCCGGTGCTCCCGATGGCCAGTAGCTACATCGCTGGGTATGTTCAAGTAAGCTAGATATGCCCAGATGCTGCGCAATTAGGCTTATTTAATATATCATGATGAGTCTCGAGTTCAGTATTTACACTAAATCTGTGCAGATTTGGCTTACATGAACTTCCTCAAGAAATTAATTATTAAACATAATTTACGAAAAGTAACCTGCCAAATTGGCTAGTGATTTGACAGCGTTACCCGCCACAGCTGATTTTTACCCGCATTTGGCGGGTGTTAATTTCAAACCCTGATTGCATCTGATTGCTTTTACACATTGTTCTGACTTCCATACTGAACTGTAATTAGGCAACATAGTTCCTAGAAGAACCAGGTATGCTCGAGCATTCTGTCCTTTTTAGTGTGACATCACATCATGTGTTTGGTTTGTTTAAATGTCTTTGGGCTATGTTGCATTCATCTTTTAGCCAAACCACACCAGAGTTAATTTGGAAGCGTATTCTGAAAAGGGGGATCTTGGTCTGTTTGTTTAGTTTGCACCAAGGTAGCACCAGAGTTTGTTTAAATCAAACCAAACCTGCCAAGTGTGAACACACCCTTAGTCATTGATAGTCATTGACCCAAAAATGAAAATTAGCCCATCAAGGGCTAATTTTACTCCCTCAAGGCATCCTAGGTGTATATGACCTTCTTCGATTGGATTTGTCTTGATGTTTGGTTTGTTTAAATGTCTTTGGGCTATGTTGCATTCATCTTTTAGCCAAACCACACCAGAGTTAATTTGGAAGCGTATTCTGAAAAGGGGGATCTTGGTCTGTTTGTTTAGTTTGCACCAAGGTAGCACCAGAGTTTGTTTAAATCAAACCAAACCTGCCAAGTGTGAACACACCCTTAGTCATTGATAGTCATTGACCCAAAAATTAGCCCATGTTTTACTCCCTCAAGGCATCCTAGGTGTATATGACCTTCTTCGATTGGATTTGTCTTGAGGGAGTAAAACATGGGCTAATTTTCATTTTTGGGTGAACTAAACCTTTAAGGCTGCTACTCGATGTAGCCTTTCGTAAATCGTTATAGTTAATTTAATGCCACTTAACTTTAATGTAGTAAAGTTTACAACAGCAATAGCAAATTATTTGAAGCATTATCATTTTGGAGATGCTCTTGAAGGTGAAGTTCACCTTCAGGTTCTACATCCAAGTCAAAAAGTCTCAAAAGTGGGCGTTGGTGGTGCTTCAGGATAGGAGCAGCCCATTATTTTATGGAACGCTCACTTTTCATGATACAATCAAGTCCTGCCATTCATTGACTTTTCTGGTAACACTTTAGATTAGGGAACACATATTCACTATTAACCATGAGTTTTTTCCTCACTATCAATAAGCAACAAATTAGGAATTTATTAAGTAAGGCAGATGCAGGAGTGATGTTTAGGTATTGGAGATCTAGAATATAATTTTGCAGAATGAAACCGATTGCACAATTAATATGTGCTTTATAAGTACTAATAAACAGATAATATGCTAGTAATATGCATGCTAATGAGCAACTAGTTAATAGTGAATAGTGTTCCTTAATCTTAATTCTTTATACCATTTTTCTTGTTGAAAATCCTGTTTGACTTTATGGTCACATTATGGAAATAAATTGGGTTATGAATGCTGTTTCAATATGTCAAGTGGAAAATTAAGACAAAAAAGACCACAGTCACGAACAGCTGATACACTTGGCCTGAACTTGCCCGCGGACTCCAAATCCCAGGTGCGGGTTAAATTTAGGCACTGAGGCTTCTCTCAGACCCATCCATCCCATGATCTCCACCGGCCGACCGGCTGCACACAGATGGCCCTGTCTGACTGCTTCATGGGAGCGCATGCAGGGCAGGTGACTCAACAGCCGGACCAGGGAGGAGAACCCAGACACGCAGGGTGGTTCGAGGTCTTATCAGGGTCGGATGAGTCATGAGAATGGCAGGCGATTGTCCGATGAGCGGCCGATGACACGGAGAGCGGTCAGAGAGCATCAGTTTGGCTGAGCAGACGTGAGAGAGTGCAGGACAATAACACCGCTGCATCAGACACACTGACGAGTGACCTAAACGACAGTCTGAAGGCCTGTTTACACCAAGAATAATAACTATAGATATAGATATAGTTTTAAAAATCCTTGTAAACTTAATTGAATAGCATAGTCAAAACCATAGCTATAACTGTAACAACACAGAGGAACATTATCGTTGGAATTACTTTCAGAACGATTTTTTTTCCTGCTGATGAATGATAAAAGAATTGACAGCCAATCAGAATCCACCCAACTTTAAAAAGCTCAAGCATTTAAAATGGCACACAACAAAACTGATCAAATGAAACGTTTAAGTAAATGATTCAGTGATTCACTCTTTTGTTGTTGTTGTTCCTAATTAATTAGTGTTCTTGAATGAATAATTTGAACGATTCAATGATTTACTCATAGACCATCCTTGTTTGTTCCTTGAATGATTGAGTGTTTTTTCAATCAAATCGCTTAAGTGAGCTATTCAATTATTCACTCACAAAGACACAGTTGTCTTGTTTCTTGAATACATCGGTTGAGTGAATGATTCAGTGACTCACTCATAAAGGCAGTCCCTTTTGACCACTTTTCACATTGATGTAACTTACAGAAAAAAGTAATTGAAGGAATATGTGCATCAGTATATGTATATATTGTAAATCTATATTTTATTCAGATTTATCCATGTACATACAGTACATTCACGTAAAGCGATATATGCTATAGCAAAACTCAACTGCCTGATTTGTTTTTATTCTGTTGAAAAATGTAACTATATATTATTGCCCAGCTATTTAAATAAAGTTGTATATATAGTTGTCCAAAGTCATATGCATAAACTGAAAGAAATTATACTTCAAAACAATTTTCACTCAGAAATTGATAGTACATTTTACAAATAAATGCAAAGAAACGTCAAATAACGTTGAATTAAACATGACATTTTGAAGTTGAAAGACTGAAATATTTTCTTATAAAATGTACTTTTTTTTGCTTACAAAATAATTTTTACTATGTACATGCAGTACATTTGTGAAGGGTTATCTATATCTGAACTGCTTGATTGCTTGTATCATCGCAAAATATAAACTATATTGTTCCCCAATATCAATCGAAATGCAACAATAAGGCATGAAGATACAGAGATACCGTAAACATTAGCATAATGATTTTCTGTAAAGCTGCTTTGAAACAATGTGTATTGTGAAAAGCACTATACAAATAAATTGACTTGATGTTTTTAGCCTGGTAGGTGAAGAAATGGGAAAAAAATCTGATATATTTAAACATCTGAGTGGCAGCATAAAGTCTGCCCACTTAGACAGAAAGAGACTGTCTGACCAAAATGTAAAGCAACCAACCACAAGTTGTTTTTATTTTCATTTTTGGTGTGGATAAATCTGAAATGGCACAATATTGGACTGGAAAGAAAAAACAATGGTGAGGCCAACTCCTTTCACACAATTAAAATATCTAGAGAATATTCAGAAATTCTGTGAGAATGCAGTTCTGTTCATGTATATTTAGTGTGCTTTCAAGTGCCTCAAAAAATCTCTTTCAAAGATTTGAAAGTCATGAACCCAAGCACCCTAGCATCACGGCAGTGAGTTTTCTGAACACAGTTTGTTCAGAAATTGTAAAAATCAGCAATGTCTGCATGGCTCAGATTTTGCTCTTCTATATCATCCTGAAATTGAGTGACACACCTAGCTGTCTGCTCGGGACAGATAGATAGTTGTCTGTCCTCAAGCAGATGCACAAGTGCGTTTGAGTTTGTTTGGGCGTTGTGTAGAGACTGACGTCTCAAACATGGTGTCTCATTTCCCCTGCTGGTGATCAAATCTGCGATTAACGCCACAGACGAGACAGCGGCCGGAGAACTGGCTGATACAAGCTTTCAGAAATCCTGCGCACTGTAATGGCTCTGAAGTCAATGTTTTATGGTAGATGTTATGCCATCGGGTGCGGCGTCAGGTCACGCATCGTGAGACTGGGGAGATTAGAGACTCGTAAAACTCCATCACAACATCCCTGACCTCTTTTATTCACAGCAGCCTGCCGAACAACTGCCTCGTATGTTCCCTTCCTCGGGATCTTTTAAGTGCACCTGACTAGCAAGGCTCTTTTGTTATTAAATCGAAGGGAGAAATTAAGAAGGCTTTCATAATGAAAGGACATTTTTGTCTTTATTTAATCTTACATTTGATCTTTTCAGTTCCGTTGATGTATTCCTTAAAGAAACAGTTCACTAAAAATGTAAACTGTAATCTTTTACTCACCCTCATGTTGTTCCAAACTCATGTGATTTCACAAAAGGAGATGTTTTGCAGAATATTTGAGCTGAGCCAGACTTCTGACTTTCAGCATAAAGTCTGGTCTACTTTGCTGTTTATTTGGCCAAAGAACTGCCCACTTAGACAGGAAGAGACCGTCTGACTGACATGTGAAGCAACCAACCACAGTTTGTTTACAGGATGTTTTGGAAGCACTAATCTGTAATAGATGATACCACATCAGCAAGCTGAAGAAGTGATTAAAAACCTGGGCACTCTGAATAGCATAAATGGTTTGGAAGCCAGCCAATCAGATTGGAGCTTGCGGTTTTAGCCAGCTGTTGCCATTTCTGTGTGCATTATCCATCAGACGGCCCGTGAACGGTCCATGGGCGTACCGTCTGAGGTTTAGACTAGTCTTAGAGTAACTGGGTAGAAATGTTTCACATGCTCTATAAAGTTTGGAAATATCTGTGCATCTCAGCATCCACCCAAAGCCAAGTTGTAATTGTTATTTTCATGCATGTGGTGCATTGCATCAACCTGCATATGCTTAATTATTCAGTCTGTCTGGTATGTGATGCCTTCAGTTGTATAATAGTGCCGCATTGTGTCATAACAATCCTAACCATCCACCCTTGAAGACGCATTTCTCTCTTTGTCTTTCTGCAGAGTGCAAGTTCCACTGCACCAATGGCAGATGTCTGAAACTTCTCTCGCTGATTTGCAATCATCTGAATGAATGTGGAGACAACAGTGATGAGGAACACTGTCCTGCTGCTGTACCTCCACCTCCAGACAGCATCCAGTGTAAGTCCATCCACCCACATCTGTCTCAACGTCACATCTGCATCTCTGACATGTGATATTGCATCAGTGTTGGGGAAGCTACTTGGCTACAGTCAAGCTACCATTAAGACAAAATATAACCAAATGTTGCTGCATACATAGAAGGGATTTAGGTCAGTTAGTGTCTTTAAATTCAATAATTATTAGATTATGTGGTGCACAGTATTTATGTGGCATAAAGGACTGGAACAAATAAAATCTACCCTAATTTATTCACCTGAATTGAAAACAGTGCTAGCGACCGCAGTATTTCAATATTTATTTCACTACAAAAAAGATTTGGTGAATCGAGGTTTCTTTTTTTGAACCAGTATATTAAGTCCAAACCAGGGTCGGAAATTATCGGGGGCCTGTGGTAAAAATGTCACTAAAATGACCAAAAATGCCCCACAAATTCGAGATAAATGGGCAAAAATGTCCTCTGCATAATTAAACTAAATCTATTATGGCTGTCGCAATTCAAATGAAATGTGAAAACGGTCAATTTGTGGAAATACATTTAAATCTGCATACATTGCATCTGATTTCTTTTACACATTGTTTTTGCAGAATTCTGTGCGCTTGTGAATTCTCTCATTATAAACAACAAAGTGCACATACTATTTAATTAAGAGCTTTATTTCACTACGCAGGGCTTAATGTTCTCCGGCACCGTGCCGGATCTCCGGCGTGTGGCGTTTGGCTGCGGGAAAAAAAAGATCCTACATTTAAAAACACTTGTTGATATCACGTTCGAGTTCATGAGTTCGCCTACCAATGGTATACGAGGAACACAGCTTTCACTCTCAACCAAACTAACATTACTAGCCAATCAGAAGTTTTTGCTCTTATAAACACAAGACGCGCATAATAGTATACAATTGCAGAGTCGCAACTGATGAATGGAAAAGAAGCCTGGGTCTCGAGCGCGACACATTGAAAAAGCTGCGAAGTGCAATGTTTTAGCGATTTCAAAATAAAACTTTCCGACTTTGCATGTTGCCAAATATTAAAATTAAATGGGCCAATCAGAAGTTTTTGCTCTTATAAACACAAGACGCGCATAATAGTATACAATTGCAGAGTCGCAACTGATGAATGGAAAAGAAGCCTTGGTCTCGAGCGCGACACATTGAAAAAGCTGCGAAGTGCAATGTTCAAAGATTTCCATCTAGCGATTTCAAAATAAAACTTTCCGACTTTGCATGTTGCCAAATATTAAAATTAAATGGATTTAAAGGGGTCATGTGATGCGATTTCAAGTTTTCCTTTCTCTTTGGAGTGTTACAAGCTGTTCGTGAATAGATAAGATCCCTAAAGTTGCAAAGACTAAAGTCTCGAACCCAAAGAGATATTCTATATAAAAGTTAAGACTCGTCCACGCCCTCCTAAAACGCCGCCGTTTAAACACACCCCCACATGTCTACGTCACGATGTGGGAAGATTTGCATAACGCCGTAAAGAAAGAAGGTGTAACTTTATTGTTGCTGCCGCCGCCACGTGGAGACGCTGTGTGTTTCGTTGCGAAAGCGTAAATACTTTGTTTGGTCTTCCAAAAGAGGACACAACTAAAAAATCAGTGGTTAAGTTGTATTTACAACACTGTTCCAGAACAGTTCAACCCAAATATTCAGATGTGTGCAGCACATTTTATGGATTCAAGTTTTCCTTTCTCTTTGGAGTGTTACAAGCTGTTCGTGAATAGATAAGATCCCTAAAGTTGCAAAGACTAAAGTCTCGAACCCAAAGAGATATTCTATATAAAAGTTAAGACTCGTCCACGCCCTCCTAAAACGCCGCCGTTTAAACACACCCCCACATGTCTACGTCACGATGTGGGAAGATTTGCATAACGCCGTAAAGAAAGAAGGTGTAACTTTATTGTTGCTGCCGCCGCCACGTGGAGACGCTGTGCGTTTCGTTGCGAAAGCGTAAATACTTTGTTTGGTCTTCCAAAAGAGGACACAACTAAAAAAATCAGTGGTTAAGTTGTATTTACAACACTGTTCCAGAACAGTTCAACCCAAATATTCAGATGTGTGCAGCACATTTTATGGAGGACTGTTTACTGATCCTGGTAGAGTAGACTACAATGCCGGCTGTTCTGACTCACAGACTGTAAGTACGAGTTTATATTTAAAGAATTTGCCACTGACGATTCAAACGTGTTACCACTTAGTTACTAAAAAAGATTACTCACTTGTCAAAATAATCAGTAGATTACTTGATTAGCAAAGTTAAGCACTAGATTAGTTAAAACATTTCAAAATACAAGTGCATTGTTTTACTTTTTGTGATTAAAAGACAAATATTTTGTCATTTGAAAATTTCTTAAAGTATTAAACCATTGTCTCGTTCTATTGAACCAAGTATCTGCATTTTGTCTCACCTTGTGAGCTAAGTGTATTGTCACACCCCAAGTGTCTATGAGCGTGATAAAGCTCATAATTTTCCAAGTGTATGATATAGCTTTCATTCTTCAGGTCAATCATATATTCATGAAAAAAAATCAGTTTTAATAAGGAAAGCGATAGCTTTGCCATAGTATCCTTTCAAAAGTTAAAGTTGCCACAGTCATTGCATTCTTTGCATGTGCTGCACTTTATTTGTACCATTTTGTTTTATTAGTTTATTTATTCGAATTTGAAAGATAATAACAACATTGATTGACTAGTGAGATCTGATTTTAGTCCTTGAAAACCAAAAAAGTAGTGCAAGTCCTTGAAAGTCCTGGAATTTTATTTTGCAGTATCTGTATGAACCCCGTTTAAGTTACCAGATCTTGGACCATTTTAATGTTTTTGTTGTTGTTAATTGAACTGAACTGTAGTTTTCTGTAGTAAACTGTCTTTGTATATTTCCTATTTTATATTCATTTCTTTTGAACAAAACAATTTCAGAAATTTCATGTTTTAGATTGTAGGTCATCTTGGACATGTCAAGGACAAAGCTAACCAGCAAAACTTGATATCAAAAGCATCCTAAATGTTACATGTGTTTGCACCATATTGTAGTGAGTAAACTTTCTTGGTATTGCCGTTTCAAATATCCCTCCATAATCTGTAGTCTGAGCCTGTCAAGGGCTAATGGCAATGGCAGATACATTACTAGTTAGTTTCTTTTTTTTGTTTGCCAAATAACCCTGTGTATGTGTCCGCCCCCACAACCCCCAACCCCCAGAAAAAAGTTCAGTTTTTTTTGCTTTAACCCCTGACTATGGAAGCCCGTTTCTGCCACTGAATAAAAAAAATATATATATATATTTGCGACTTTTTCTCTCTCACAATTCTGACTTTTTTTTTCCTCAGAATTGCGCAATATAAACCTTTCACATTTTGTGAGATATAAACTTGGAATTGTTTAGAAAAAAATCTGAATTGCAAGATGTAAGATCACAATTCAGAAATTCAAAATTAAACACGCAATTGTAAGAAAACTTACTTGGACTTTATAACTTGCAATTGCAAGTTCATATCTCACAATTCTGAGAAAAGAAGTCAGAATAGTGAAAAAAAAAGTCAGAATTGGGAGATATAAATTCACAATTGTGAAAAAAAAATCTGAATTGTGAGTTTATATCTTGCAGAAAAGTCAGAATTATGAGATAAAAAGTCACAATTACTTTGTTTTAATTTTTATTTTGTGGTGGGATTGGGCTTCCATATTTCGCTAATCATGCTAATCACTTCAGTGAATATTACGAGAGTTTTTGCAAACTTGCGCTAGACTATGTTAATGTCATGGACCGACATGTTTGTGTTGTCAGAATATAATGTGCCGCTTCCTCAAACACAAAAACGGTTTATATGCATTCTATTAATCGACATTAATAATCATTATTACAATATCAAGAGCAACAATTGACAAAAATGCTTTTTGTCATTATATTGCAGTCCTATGAGTTCCTGTTTTATTAAATGTATATGTAATTTTAAAAAGTATGTTGTCATTGGTAACATTTTAAAGTATTCTGATTGATTGACGCAAATGGTTAAATTTAAGTGTTTGACATTAAAGACAACAATCATACAAATAATAAGGTAACTATAAAAAATGCCCCTGGTTAACAATTCCAGGGGGCAAATATTGAATGAATCAGACTCATGCTACTGGAGAGCGACAGTCTACTGGAGTGTTTGATTAACATCACAATCGGTTGCAAGGCTGGGATATATGTGTATATGTGACATAAAAACAGCAATATAACACTTGCTTGTTGGGAAAAAATGGCTTGTTATTGGAAAAGCTTTGAAAGCAGGAAAGCAGCTGAACTGCTGTTACGCTACTGAAAACTGTAGTTAGGTTTTGTGGTGTCGCCCAAATCTCCTTGCTGTGTGTTCTGTGCTGTTGTCTTTGCTGATCCATCCTGGTTTATTGATATTTTGTTCAGCATTATGCCACAAAATGCTGTGTGGTGCAGTTATCTTACCACAGTTGTGCTAGAAACATACTGAGCACAAGTGTGAGAACGATTCTTCTGCTGAGGAATACGGTTAATTAGCATAACTGTAGATGACATTGCAGATATGTTGACTTGGTGCATTAAAACTGAATTTCAGTTGATGTGCGTTAGCTGTTTTATAATGAAACTGGCTTATCAGTCCGATTTGAGACTTAGAAGTGTTCATTATTGCTGCAAATAACAACTGTTTAGATAATCGATTCATCTGTAAAGTTTTATTCTGGTTTAATCAAATATTACTCCACAGTTTGCTCGGGGCTCTCCATCAAGTAGTGTACAAATTGAAGTATGTAATGTATTCTATGTGTGCAAGCTGTTTTAAAATATAAGCTAAAGGTTGCAGTACTAGCAGAAGAGCATTTCAAATAACCAAAGTTACCAAACCACAAACTAAGCAAGTCAGAGGTTAAAATGCACAAGAACACACACATTCCCTCCTCTAAACATGTCAACATTCAAGTCTACTAAACATTTTTTTCTGGGATTAAATGAGTTCTGAAATAACATTATTTGGGTTACA